AACAAATAATATTATTTAATATACAACTTTAAAAGAAGAAGAAAAATAAAAAGTATTTAACATATATATATATATATATATATATATATATATATATATATATATATATATATATATATATATATATATATAGAAAAAGGGAATATACATTACAGCCCCACCTAAGCTTAGGTACTAAACCTCTTGAAAATACATTGTTTTACTATATAAAGATTACGGTTAATGGATTCACGGTTAATACTTCAAGATGTAAATTCAAGATCGACAAAATAGGGTTTAGGGTTTAGGGTTTAGGGCTTAAGGTTTAGATTTAGGGTTTAGGGTTTAAGTTTACGGTTTAGGGTTTAGGGTTTAGGGTTTAAGGTTTAGGGTTTAGAGATTAGATTTAGGGTTTAGGTTTAGGGTTTACGGTTTAAATTTTGGGTTTAGGGTTTAGTAATGTTCACTTGGGTGAAGTAATAAAGGATAATTGATGAAAGAAAACAAAGATGGTAAAACAATAATGAAAGAAAGAAATGTTATGGAGGATGATATATTGACTAAGTGAAACCAAACTGGACATATTTAGCATGTTAAAACGACATATTTTAGAGGTTTAGTACCTAAGCTTAGGTGGGGTTGTAATGTATATTCCCTATCCCTATTATATATATATTATATATATATATATATATATATATATAATATATATATATATATAATATATATATATAATACTTTACATATATAAGTATATGACTTTAATTTTAAAAATTGAAACTAACCAAAAATTGACAAGTGGATAATATTTATTTCAAAAGTACCACAATATGACAAGTGTCAAAATTCATGAAAGACATGTAGCAGAAAAAACATTCATTTATTAAGGAGGATTACACTATTCGTCCCTCGTGCACACGTCAGAAAGCGTGTTTAGTCCTTATTTTCAAAAATTAACTCGGATCGTCCCTCGTCCGTTTAAAGTTGCACGTTTCGTCCCTTTGGACATAAAAAGACCATTTTGCCCTTATTTATTTTTTTTAATTTTCTTTTTATTTGTTTATTATTTTTAGATTTATATATATATATATTATATATATATATATATATATATATATATATATATATATATATACACACATACATATACATATATTTATATATAACAATAAATATACATACATGAACCCACCCCTCCTCGCTTCCCCCTCCTACGTATTCCTCTACCTTTGTCCCACCATTCTCAGCCACTCCTGACATCGGCGAAGCCCCATCACCCCCACCTTCACCTTCACCCCAAAGCGATAAACCAAAATCGGACCAATCGATCTTCATCCTCCTCTAATCACCTCTATCAAACCCTAGAACTCTTAACTCTAGAATGAACTATACATAGAATCATCAACATCAACACCCTTACCGGTGGAATCATCAACAACACCATAATCACCACCACCATCTTATATATCCACTCAACCATAAGTCACCTCTCATTTTTACTGTTCTCGATTTGCAGTAAATCAGAAGATTGAAAAGAGAAAAAGTAAACTTCGATTTATACTTTCCCCAATTTCTTTTCTTCTTCTTCTTCTTCTTTAAATTTAATCGGTCATCTCTCTCACTCTGTGTCACAGACCGCTAGCACCTCCTGCAATCGAAAATGATGGAGATTCAAATCATAGAAGCGAGTTCATTCGAACCCAATTCTTTTCCATTGACAACAGAGACGGAAAGGTGATCACATTCTGACAGGTGTTTTAAGGTGGTTTTGAGAGGTTGATTTGGTTGTCTAGGCAGTTTTGGTAAAGATAAAGTTCAGAAACTGGGGGGATAGAGATGGTTGGCTTCGAGGGTGGTATAGGGCAGGTGGTAGTTGTTGTTTGGTGGCAATGAACTGATGATGTTCGAATGGTGCAAATTGTACGAAGGTGGTTCCGACTAAGTTTGGTTTTCCGATTTTGAAGGTAAGGTTTAAAGTGGATGTTGGTTGCGGTTTGTGACGATGAACAAAGGTACTACAAAGGTGTTCTGATGGTGGCATAACCCGGCAAAAAAGGAGGTAAGAAGTTGATGGTGGGTTTTAAGGTGGTATAATGTGAGTGCACGAGAGACGAATGGTATAATTTACCAGGTGGTGTTCATCCGATGATCTGGTAGGGTAGGGGTATAAAGTGAGACCATATTGTTTTTTCTTTTATTTTTAAAATAAAAGGGGCACAATAGTAATTTTCGGTCTCACAAAGGATGGCTTGCAAATTTAAACTAACGAGGGATGAAGCGTGCGACTATTAACCAAACGAAGAACAATCCGAGTTAATTTTTCAAAATAACGACTAAACACATTTTCTGACATGTATACGCGGGACACAGTGATGAAGCCACATTAAGACAATGGTGGGCCTTGGCCCACAATATAAAAAAAAAAAAAAAAAAAAAAAAAAAAAAAAAAAAAAATTAAAAAAAAAACTATTTTCTGATACGTTTTATATACACTTTTGTTATATGAAAGGAGTTGGGTTTAATGGCCCACCCCAATAACATATTAAAATTGCAAATAATAAGATGTTGCCACTTTTGATTTATATATACATATTTACCAAAGGGATAGTGACTTGAAAGGGTAACGAACTTTCGATTTTTTTCACATTTAGTCACTAAACTTTTTTTCGTTATCTATTTGTCATTAAACTATTGAAACTGTTCACATTTTACCCTTATAGCCGGCTGTTACCGGTTATAAGGGTAAAATGTGAACAGTTTCAATAGTTTAGTGGCAAATAGATAACGAAAAAAAAAGTTTAGTGACTAAATATGAACAAAATCAAAAGTTCATTTCCCTCTAAAAAGTTCAATGAATAAATGTGAACAAACTTCCTCTTGTATTATGTTTTAGAAATTATTTATTTTTGCTAAATTGTAGCAACATTTGTTGATGAAAAAAAACTAAATATATATTTAAAAAAAATTAAAAAAAAACTGAAACCAAAATAAAAAACCAATGGTTTGACATTTTCCAAAATAAAAAATCAAAATTTCCATTCTGATTTTGGTTTTACAAAAAAATGAACCATTCTCACTGATGTGAATTATGACCATTGGTTTAGCATGCTACATCACCTATTCATCATCATCTATTTACCTAATTATCATCACCTATCTCTCTTCATTTTATTTCATCACACACCAACTATTTCATGTATCCATGTTTCATCCGCAACATATTTGTAGATATAAAATAAATATATCGTTTAAATCTCTTAAAACATGTATAAAATCGTTCATCCAACATAGACAGCAAGTATTCAAATAATATGCACACATAACACGTAATTTATATAAAATACTTCATATTTATGTGTAAGATGAAAGTAACTATATATACCATAAAAATCTCATAAATGCTTCCTAACTTTAAACCCCAAGGTTTACTCTACTAAAGCTTCATATTCTCGGCTCTCTGGACCCAAAAGGGTCCAGATTCCTAACTTCAAACCCCATGATTTACTCTACTAAAGCTTCATATTCTCGGCTCTCTGGACCTACAAGGGTCCAGATCTATAACACACACTTGCAAGAGGGGTTTGAGGCATTCAAAACCCCAAAGATGAAGTGATTCAAGCCCTAACCCCAAAACGGAATCTACACAATAGGGAAGGAAAGGGGTTCATTTTTGTACCTCAAAATGAAGTTCCTTGCTTGAATAACTCAGAACAATAACCTTCCTTGGTCCCTCTTGCTGAAACTCTTCTCCTTTCTTGCAAAATCACACCAAAAAGCTCAAGATAGCTCTTCCTCTCACTCTGCACACTCAAGCTCGCTAGGGTTCTTACTTATGGGAAAGGTAGTCGCAATTGAAGGCCATAAGTGCCTTTAAATATGGCTCGAGCCCAAAGATTTAGGGTTTCTGCCAACAGCGCGGACTCGACGAGTCGTCTCACCGACACGTCGAGCCCATTCATTAATCCGAGTCATCAGTTGCGACGTTACTCGACGAGTTGAGTCGTCAACTCGTCGAGTCTCTCTTCTTAACTCAAAAGAAAAATACTTCAATTATGATACCTGGAAATCCGGATATTACATTTTGTTTTTTTATTTCAAAGATTTCTTCATAAACAAATTTGCGACATAATACAATAGGAAACGAACATTTTAGCCATTGAAACTGTTCACATTTTACCATTATGACCGGCTGTTACAATCAAGTAAGGACCCTTTCAAGTCATTACCCCTTACCTTAATAATTCAAGAATTTATGACACTTTTTTTATAACAGTTCACGACTCACTGTTTTGTTTACATTTGTTAGAACCGATTCACAATTTGTTAAGCGTGATTCACCAATAGTAGTTTTGTTTAAAAATATAAGTACATTTGTAATTGAAATTTTTGTGATCAGTGAATTTTGTTGACAAATATATCGTCAAACTTTTCCGTCTAAATTACAAACTACATTTTAAATGATTTTAATGAATACAAGAGAACATATGTGCAGCTTAAATGAGCAGTATGTTTTAAAAATGCATACATTTTCACATTTTATTATAATTTAAAATATTTTTCTATCACTTCATATTTTATATATTTTTTTACATTTTGTTATCATTTAAAATATTTTTCTATCAGTTCGTATTTTTACAAATTATTTGTTGTATCTTAAATCAAAATCCTAAATGGTAATTTGTTTTACTAGTAAAGATTTTGAACCCATCGACAAAAAACGACAAACCCTGAAGACCAAAGTGCTGCTAGTTTTTTAAAACAAATTTTGAAAAACTTCCATGCATCAATAGGTCCGGATTTTATCGAAAGTATCTGAATATGTAATGTCTTACTACTTATTTATTTATTAAAATCAATTTTAACAAATAAATAATTAAAAAGATGGAACTTATTTTAGGACGGTGGAATGGTAGTCCAAAACAAACATACCATAAGATCTCAAAATCCCAACCGAATAAAATATCCATATCCCAAATTCGCAACCTTTCATCTCAACTTCTTATAAAAAACAACAATAAAATAAAAAAATAAAAAAAAAAAAAAATCTTTCTAGGCTTTGAGTCTTCCATAAAACTTCGCCTTCTCATCAAGAGTCTGAAAGCGTCCATGCCCAAACTTTGATGACGTGTCAACAAACTTAAGCTTAATTTCCTCCATAGCAAGCCTCGATGTCTGTTTCAACAAAGACTGTCTTAACGTCACCACCCTCTTCTTGGGTCCCACACAACACCCCTTTATCATCAAAAAATCATCCTTCACCACCCCATAATGCGGAAACCCACCCATCGGCGTTATCTCCTTCTCAGTCCTACAATCAAAAAACAACACATAAATTCAACAAGAAAATTACTATTTTACCCCTGATAAAAAAAAATTAAAAATAAAAAAAAACCTGTCGTATTCAGTGATTGCAGAATGCGACTCCTGTCCAGATTTCCCAAGTTTATAAATCTTCTTATTCATTTCAGTTCTGTGATGATACCCATTCTGTCCAGCTCTAGCAACAGTGAAGGAAACCCTAGCGGGGTGCCACGCTCCGATACACGCAACCTTACGGAGCCCACGGTGGGTCTTCCTGGGTAAACGGGTCACACCCCAACGGGTCACAACGCCTTCATACCCTTTCCCTTTTGTCACACCAATAATATCAATCATTTCATCTTTCTGAAACACAGCATCGATTGGAATTTGTTTCTCGAAAAAATTGTACGCAAAGTCAACTTTTTGTGCCACATCACCACCGTTGACTTGGATTTCCATTAGGTGGGCCTTTTTCTGTTTCAGACCTTTCATCTTACGAATCTGAAACTCACATACAATATCTGATTAGATATGTTTAAAAGATTAAGGATTTATGTAATTGGGTTTAGGGTTTAGGGTTTTACTTGTGTGTGGGCAAGAACACGGATGACATTGCAGTACTTTTTCATCTTTTCCAGCTGTGACTGGATGTCTTTCTTTCCTGTTTCGGTTTCATATTTCTTTGAGTAATTTGTGAATGCTTTCTTTTTTGATTTGCACCAGTTTTTGTAGAATCTTCTTTTGATGTCTTCGCTCAGATGCTGGGCCCACACTGTGTTCAAGGTGCGGAGCCCACGTGGGGTCTTGACGTACCCCACCACCCCAACAACCACCATTGGAGGTGTTTCGATGATTGTCACTGCCTCACAGGTTTCTTTCTTGTGGAGTTCTGAGATAAAATGAATTAAAACATTATTACATATAAAGTGGTAAATACTATGTTAAGATAGAAAAAAACAAGTAAATTACATTTATAGTCACCCAAGTTCACCTGATATTTCAATTTTAGTCCAAAAGAGTTATAATGCAATTTTGGTACATAATCGAATTTATTGGACTAATAAGTCCTTTCCATGGACCAATAAGATTACAAGAACCTAAATCAAGGACCAAATAGTCTTTTTTAATTGGATCATTGACCAAATATATATTACGAGAACCTAAAATAAAGACTAAAGCTGTGCAAAAAAAGAACTTTTTAAGACCAGATTTTGAAAATTCAGATATCCTAAAGGGTCTAAAGAAACTATTATTGGTAAAAAAGAGTTAGAAACTGACTTGATCCAGGCTTTTCAACATCTCTAACAATATGTGTCATTCCAGCTTTGTATCCCAGAAAAGCAGTAAGTTTACAAGGTTGTGCAGGATTGTCTTTGGGGAATGCCTTCACTGTAAAACCAATATATTAGAATCCAACAATAATAGATTTATAAACAATATAAAACCAAAAGAATTATTAAGATTTCGACTTTAATATATAAAAGGATTAACATCTTATGTCAGGAAATGTAAATATATAAACCTTTTCCTCTGTGACGAGCAGCCCTTTTCCTGGGAAGAAATCCCAAAGAACCATGTCTTGGATGCTCGAACTTACGATGAGACATTCTTAAATATCTGCAAAACTTATAAAGTTTATATCCAAAATATCACACAAGAAAACATAAACAATAAGTTAAAAGACATGTGTTCCTATCAGGTTTAACATAGAGTAGATGAAAGAAAGTATCAAGTGACAAACTCAAGTTAAGAATGAGAATTTAAATGAAACAGAAACAACAGAACAAACTTAAAAAAACTGTAAATCATGATACATGTTGGGAGTTTTTGACAAATATTTGGAGTGAAACAAAAATAGTCATGTATTAAGTTGAAATAGTGGATTAAAGAGAGATGATTGACTAGCTGCATATGGCTTCAACCACATTATGTAATGATGAAAAGAAATGCTCCAATACCAGAGGCCTATGGCAAAAAACTATGCCAATTCTCTGAGCTTATTAGTGTTTCTTACCAAACCCAAAATTGGTATTTGGCAAACAAGCCTTTTTGAGATTCCAGCCTTGATTATTTGTATGTTTCATGAGACAATTTCTTTCATCATACATGTAGAGGAAAAACGAAGATGCCAGCAAGATCAATATCTCTTTCTCATCTTAAAACAATGAAAAAACCACTAAACTAATGTAAAGCTCTACACAGAAAAATATCAATATCAACCAAAAAACAATTAGATTAGCCTAAAACATATGAAGTGATGCTTTAATACATATTCAGATCAATCAAAAATGCAGAATAAGGTCGAATTAAGCTGATTTGGGAGAACTAGTTGTCTAGATCTATTAGTGCATGCTTGACAGCAACATGAAAATTAGACACTGAAATATAATAAAACTTCAATTTTCTGTTTAGCTGATACAAAAAAGAGAGTAAAAGGCTATACTTTGAACATAACATCAACAGATCCGAATCTAAAACTACTAGTTTCGCTGGATCTGCGAAGTTAAGCATAGAAAAGATGTACGTAACAGATTGATGTAAAGTAAACAAAAAATCGTCATCTACAAGCATACAAACCATACACTATATAAAATTCATTCTCCTAAAATAAACAGTAACACATACAACACCGAAACCCAGAATCCCATATGAATGGGGTATGCGGATATAGAGACAGCGGTGCCTCCGTCAAGGAAAAATCAGTAATACATACGTAGATATATAAGATGATTAGTACAAAAATCATCAGAAAATTAGAATCGCAGAGATAATTCAGACATCCATACCTTGAAATTGAGAGGGATGGAAGCAGATCGAGAGGTGCAATGAGCAGATGAATAAGCCTTTATCGGCTTTGTAATACTATGGAGGCGGTTTTTGACCGTCCGATCAAATCGTTCAGCGATTTAGGGTTTGAAATTGGGCCGCAGGTTTACAATAACTTTTATTAGGGCTTGGGGAATTCGGGAATTGGGGCTTTCGAAAATACGGGCTTGTTATTAAAGCACCCAATACCCATTAACTTTTTTTTTTTAGGTTAGAGAAATTTCCTACGTTCTAAGGTTTAACCGTTATGCCTCTATAAACCAAAAAAAATAAGTTTAGTGATCAATTCGAAAAAAAAAAAAAACCACATACAAACAAACAATGAATCATATATTGAATTGCTTTGATGAAAATTTTAAAGGCATCATTCAATCTTATTAATTCCTTTCATGTCTCAAACATATATCTCAAAATTTCAATTTTTTGGTACTATATGAAAAATTTTGAACATGCTTGAACATAGAACCATATTATCGTGCCTTCTTTTTTACTCGCTTTTATTTGTAATATAATAAAATAATGAAAATTACAATAATATGTGACTTGATGATAAAACAAAATTAGAGTTTGCATAATAACTGAAAAAAGAGAAAAGATATCAGGAACCAGTTTCAGATTTAGCTTTGATAGACTTTTTTTTCTGTTATCGTTTTCAACTTTTTGGAGCGTCTCTTGAATGAAAACCCTTTAATCCTTTTATTCATAATCTTTATCTTCATTAGTCTCCAAATCGTTCAAGAATAGAAGCAGTGACAATGAGGATGAAGAACAGAAGAAATGGCGGCATTGACAAGGAGGAAGGCAGTTGACGGTGGAGAAGGAAGAAGAAGAAGAATATCGATGTCTTGTGGGGCTTGGATCGATATATAGGGTTTTTAAATCATTGTAACGACATAATTTTTCAAACCAAAATTTTCAATTTTAAAATTCATAAAACATGTCTTATCATTAATTCCCAAAAACAAACAACAAGTTTTCAAAACAATTATTCAAATCCAGGATCCTCCAACATATTCCATCTCGACTGCGTGTGTGTGTACAATCATACCGGCGCCTTCCCGCTATCTCCCGAGGTACCTGAAACACATAACACATAACACAGTAAGCACGAATGCTTAGTGAGTTCCCCAAAATACCACATACAACAAGTTCGCCACTCGAGGCTATACTCTGTAAGACCCTCTGGTCCATGTGTCTCAGCGGGACCCTCCAGTCCCGTAGCTCGTTGGACCTTCTGGTTCGGTCTGATTGAGAACCCTCCGGCCTCATAGTTCGTTGGACCCTTCAGTCTAGTATAAGTAACAAGTAATATAGCATACAATACATATCACACAATCATGCATAACTCAAACAAGCACATAAGACCCTCTGGTCACACATAGTTACCACTCTAGGTAAAGTATAGTGAGAAGACTCACCTCGTAAGACGGCTAGTAAAAATCTCGTGCCCGAAATCCTCAGTCTAGCCTCCACCTATCACAAGTTAATATTTCTAATTAATATTCTACTATTATCTCTGAAAAGTGGGTAGAAGACCATCCTACCCCTCACTGACCTCTTTCACTTATTTTGACCAAACCCTAAAGTCAATAGAAGTCAACTCCAGTCAACGGTCCAACTTTGACCAGACTCGTCGAGTGCACTCGGGAGACTCGTCGAGTCTAGTCGATTCACGGCAACCCCAGCAAGCTCCAACTCGACAAGCTAACCCCTAACTCGACGGGTCACCATCTGACTCAGTTCATCAGGACAAAACCCTGGGCTACTCGTCGAGTCAGCGACTCGACTCGGCGAGTGTAACACCCGTCAAAATAGGTCAATAACAATCACATGTGATTATGCCAATCATGTAATGTAATTTCGTTAAACTAGTAATGTGATAAACTTACTATGTAATTAATGTTAAAGTATGAAATTTCATACATAATTTATGATACAACTCAAACTATACGTCCATACGATTCCAAAGTTATAGAGAACGTCTAAATCTAACTTCGCGTGAAGAAGTTATGATAAACCCTAACACTATAAATCTCTATAATAAGAGGAATTTAAAATAGACTTATGTGACATCCCCATTTTCACGCCCAGAAAAGACCGATTTTGTTTATGTTTTATAAAAACCAGAATTCTTCTTTTAATAAAAATGTTGCGGAATTTGTTCCCAGAAAAAACACGATAAATACGTTATTAAAACATTTTCGAAGAAACATATTTTATTCATTTTAAAACGTTTTGGATGTCATCGTTAATACAAAAACATAAGCATAAACAGAACTTACATTTATTTACACTAGTGATCTACATCTCTTTAAATCTCTCAGTGTAATGTGACTTCTTATCAATACCTGTGATATAAATAACTGAGTGGATCAGGTTGGGAAACCTGGTGAGTACATAGGGTTTTCAACCCACAATAATATAATTATTATGTTTAAACAATCAAACAATCAACCCAATTACCCATCCCCATTATCTTCTTTACTCTTAAGGATTTATCCTAAGAGTCATCTATCATGCATTCGTTTATTCCGAAGTCCCTTACTTCCAGGGTTATAGGACTGGCACTAAATCCATAGCTACCAATGTTCGTTCATAAAGCACTAATTCCATAGCTGCTATAGTCTATTCATCGGGTACTAAATTCATAGCTACCAGTGTTTATCTAATAGGTACTAAGTCCATAGCTACCAATTCCTAACAGGTACTAAATCCATAGATACCGGTGTTTATCCAATAGGCACTAAGTCCATAGTTGCCGATGTTTATTAGGCACTAAGTCTATAGCTGCCAATGTTTACTCACATCATCTTTTATCTCTCATCATTCATCTACCCATGTCATACCCAACATATTCGTATATATAAAATACGTATATAGTTTAAATAATTTAAAACATGTATAAAATGTTCATATAGCATAGACAACAGTATTCAGATAATATGCACACATAGCACGTAGTTTATATAAAATACTTCATATCTATATGTAAGATGAAAGGGACTATGAACTCACTTGAAAGGTGGTGACTTAGCACTCGGACAACGCTTCGATACTCTCAAAACAATTTCCTTCGATAAAACCTAGTATCAACACCACTAGGGTTTAGTCTAACGATAACCGCGACTAATTAATAGTCTAGCTATTATTATTATTATATTATATAAGCGTTAAATAACACTCAATATAACTCATAATAATAGCCCAAATAATTATTTTAAAGTCCTAATAACATTACTATATCGAAACATAAGCTATGCTAAAGATAGGGTAGGCGTAGCTCATTTACAACGGGTTTTCTCGAAAACCGGGCTTCGCTGGAGCAGCGTTTCTGAGGCGAAAGACCCTTTTTCTCAGGACTCCGGGAGCCTCGGGGCTTCCTTCGGGTGCTAGGGGGTTTACCTAGGCTAAAGGGGGGTTTGGGGGCTAGAGAGAGAGTCTAAAGAGAGAAATAATAGTTTGGGAAGGTGTGAAGAATGAGGGAACCCGACACCTCTATTTATAGGCTGAATTCCTGATGGACTCACCGAGTAGGAGGACCTACTCGGCGAGTTGGGGCATGTGGCAGCCTTCTGGTGGTGCCACGTGTCCAATTCTGGTGGTGCCACATCACCCCTATCGCATATCAGCCTTCAAACTTAGAAAAATCATAACTCTCTCATACGAGCTCCGTTTTTGACGTTATTTTTTTCAACGTGTAGGTAAAATCAAGATCTACAACTTTTATTTAGACTCCGTTGGCTAATTCTCGAGCGATCTCAAATTTAACAGTAAGAGACGTTTAGACTGTTAAATGACCGCGAAGAATTCGTAACTCCTTCATATAGACTCCGTTTTCATCTATATTTTTACCATTGAGTTCCTATTAAAGAGATCTTCAACTCTCATTTAGTTCGTGTAAGCCAAAAACCGCTCGAACTAAAATTCGAGTTTCGGGTCGTGCACTGCTAAGCCGAATCTTAGAAAAATCATAACTTCCTCATACGAAGTCATATTTGGATGTTCTTTTTTTTGTATGTTCTTGTTTTAACATATACTACAACTTTAGTTTATATTTCTAAGGCTAAAAGTCGCTCCATCGTAAATTTACTATTTACGCTTCCCGGTGTCGTGCCGGTTTTACCGTAAAACTTCGACGAGTCATAACTTCTTCGTTATAACTCGGATTTCGGTGTTCTTTATATGTACAGAAACCTTGAGACATATTCTACAACTTGGTTAAGATTATTTATTCTAAATAATCTTTTGTAGAAAAGTCATTTTCGACACTTATTGCCTCAAAATTGACTAGTTCGGTTCTGCGGGCGTTACAATTATCTCCCCCTTAGGATGATTACGTCCCGGAATCATCAATGAAACAGGGCTCACATGATGGCTCCATTCGTTATCTATTCATCCTAATTCATAACTTCGATGTTTCTTCGAACGAGTATCTAACTCTTTGACTCCTTGACTGTAGGCGGTGCTCGATCTTGCACTTGCTCCATATCTCACGTTAGACTCCAGATTATGATCTTCAAGTCACAATATTGATCCTCACTGGATACGAACTTAAGATAAGTTATTTTATTACTACAATGGTGTTGGATTAATGTCTAAGTCCATAACTATAATTGGTAAAACTTGATCCGACCCGGCATGGTCCATTTGGGTTGCATGGCATCATGCACTTGGATAGACTAAAATGAGAGAAATAACACTTAGGGTTTATTAATATATTATTAAGGTTCTTTAATTAGTATTGATAAAGAATTAATTTGGAATTAATTAAGTGATCAAAAGGAGACTAATTAAATATATGAGTTGATTGTGTAAATCATTCATTCTTATATATGTGGGCTTGTGATCCAAGATTGCTTATGTTGGAATAACTCCATGGGGTGACCCATGGATGCTCCATGGAGGTTAAAATCCATGTAGCATAAGGAATGGGTAAAGTCATGAGTTACATGCCACCATAATAGCCACTATCGATGTGTGTGTGTGTGTGAGGGCTAAATGATTTCATGGAGTGTTCAAGTTTCTCTCAAGTTATTCCAATTGTACTTGATGTTGTGTGAACCATTTGAGGTGTCACACTTGGGGCACTAGGCACTCAAGCTTCATGAAGACAAGCACCAACAAAAGGTATGTTATTCTAACTTGTGTTATTCAAAGTTTTGTATGCTAGAATAGTACAATACCTTGGAAAGTTGATATTTGCATGTATAATAGAGAAAACATAGATCCAAGGTATTTAGGGTTGCATGTACACTTAGGAGTGTTAGATTGCTCAAAACCCAACAGTGGTATCAGAGCCAAAGCTTGTTTTCTTGTTGTACTTGCTTAAACTGCTTAAAAATCGACTTTTGGTGCTGTCAGCCAAGCAGACTCGCCGAGTCCATGAAGGGACTCGACGAGTCCAAGGCAAAATGCATCCAACTCGCCGAGTTTGTTCATGCACTCGACGAGTTGGACCCCCAGACAGCA